TTCAGAAATGACACCAGTTCTGTTGTCATTTGCTAACAAAACTGCTGTAGTAGTTGTATGGAAATACTTCTTTCGGTCCTGTTTGTAAGTTAAACATAGCAGGAAATAGTTTAAGCTTCTTATTTATAACACTGTAAGAGTCTTTTATAATAATTGCCCTTCCTTTATATAAGCCAGTTATTTGCATTGTTCGTGAACCTTTAATGATGGGAGTTCCTTTCACTTCTGTCATGTGTCTTAAGATGAAGTTTATATCATAACTGAGGTTATGGAAATATATTAAACTCTTGTCAGGAAGTCGTTCCAAAAATTCTGTTGCACAGTTCTGACCCCAAATGCTTTCACTCACTGAACCATCTTCACTGTCATAACAGATGTTAAAAGCTTTATGAAAGCCATCGTACTACACTCAAAGTCAGCAAAGAAAACGTGCTCAGGAATGAACTTGCACTTATTTTTATTTACTTCTTTTGACTCGCTTTCTTCTTCAGTTGTACACAATACTTTGGAGCATATGTCAAATCTTTAAATGGTGCAAGGTTCTGTTTATATAAGTCAGTCGTATATGTGAAAAGTTCTCCATAAGAAATAGGTTCGAAATATTTGCACTCCCACAATGTTTTCATAACATCCCATAACGGTGTTGTTCTATCATAACGAACTACATATTTATCTTCTCTCTTTGTATAAATCTTCATCTGTTTCTCAATGTTCATTCCACCACACTCCTTCAAGATTTCTATATAGTTTGCGAATGAAATATGTTGTCATTGGTAATCTTTCGTTTAGCATGTAGTGGTCTTCAACAAGAAGTAAGTCAATAGTTCGAACAGTTTCACATTCTTTTGGTATGTATCTCTTTATTTCATTATGTCTTGAGTCATTGAAATAACCAATGGTAACATTAAATGCTATACCTGTTGCGTCAGAAATTTCTTGTACTTTACTTTGAGGAAAGTCTCTAACACGAATGACTTCTCTCATGTGGTCAATAGTTTCTTCATCTACTCCAGCCTGAATGCAAGCATAAACGAAACAATTGTCTTCTGTCATAAGTGTTGCAGTTCTTTTGTTCAGTTCATTGAAGATTTGGTAGCGTTCAAGATTTATAGGTAATGTGCAAAGATACTTCCAGAACTGACCGCTTCTCTTCTTATAAAACTTCTTTTCACCATTTCTTCCAAAGCTTTCTATAAGTGCTGGGTTTCCTGTTTGCTTAAGAGCTTCCAAAATCTTTCTGGTCATTTGTGTCAGTGTGCTTTCATCTCTATATGGTCTCTTTTTTGGTTTGCCTTTCTTTACATCTGACATCGTTAAGCCTTCATATTCTGTTAAATCATACATCTTTATTTCGTAAGATTCTTTATGTTTGTCAAGAAGAAGTCATAGTGCATTTCAACAATACCTGCAGCATTTGCTTCTATCTCTGATATAAAGTTCTCCTTCAAGAGCTGATGTAGTAATGTTCCAATATTATTGAGGTTTAACGTAGAACATTCATACTTTCCACCAAGTTTATAACATACCATCCATCTTTGTTGGAGTTTATTTTAATTTCTCTAAGAGTCTCATGAAAACCTTACCGAAATGTTTGTGTAAGTAGTCTCTGTTTGGTTCATCTAAAGCTTCGATGTTAAAGTCAATGAGTCTATTGCCTGACTTCACATTTCTCTTCCTATTCTCTTCATCTTTCTTTAACCATCTCTCACCTTCTTTTGGTTTGTCGTCAATGGAACGAATGACATCGTTAGCTTTGCGAACTTGTTCTATAGCACTTTAAACATCTCTCTTCTCTGTTGTTTCAGTGTGTCGTCTCTTCTTCTTGTTTCACCAACGTTTGCATTTGTTATGTCAAACATTTCTCTTCTTACTTCATGAGGTACTGAACGTCTATGATATAAGTCAATAGCAACGTCATTTAAAGGAAATGCTCTTGCATGGACTTCGTCCTCGCCGCGTTGCGGCTTTATGAACTCATGAATTCTATCATAACTTATTGCACCATTATAGTCTTTAATGAAGTCAGCGAGTGCTTTTTTGTTTGTTGCGTAATGCTTTGCAACATCTATATTAGCTTCTGTAAGAAGTTGTTTTATTTCCGAGTGTTCTAACTTAGACAACTTCCGATACATCTTTAGTAGGAAATAAAAAAATATTTTTTGAAAAAATTAGATTAGATTTTTTTAAGTTATTTTTCAAAATAATTTAATATTTTTATTTTAATGAAACACATGCAAGATTGCAAGTTCTTTTCATACAATGCTCTCGCTACTGCCATCAAGAATGAGTTCAATAATGCTTCAAATGTTAATGTTATCTTTAACAAGAAGTTTGTGAAAGAATCTAAGTTTGGTCAGTATGTCAGACCATTAGCTATCGTCATTGACCGCAAACGTTATACTTCACAAGAGTTAGCAGTAGTTTTGAAACAAAAGAGTTTCTTCGTGAATGTCAAAGATACTCATTATACTGTCATAAAGAACTCTAACATTGACTTCTTCAGTATTGCTTTAAATCTTTCCGAACAGAAAGAATATAAGAAGGGTGAAACAAATGTGAAATATTATCCTTCATCTCTGAAGACAATAACGAACAAAGATGTTATACAGAAATTCTTACCAAAGGTTGAAGAAGCTTCTATTGACATTGACGAAGGAAGTGAAATGGTTGAAGAAATTGACCCTGACGTATTTAAGCAAAAATATATTTTTGGTTAGTCTTCATATCGATATTTTACAACAATTCCCCAATGTATAAACTTTTCATACGCTTTTTCATAAGCTTTATATACCTTCAGAAATTTTGCATAATCTTTAGAAGCATTTAGATATTGTTTAAATGCTTTGTATGTCTTCAAAAATTTTGCATAATCTTTTACATGTTGTTCGTTCTCTTCTTCTGTCATGAGTTCCGAATATTCTAAATTCATGTTCTTTCATATGAGATAAAATTTTATAAAAAAATAAAATTAGCTTAGATTTTTTTATTCTTCCTCTTTGAAGTTGTCGAAATATTCTGTTATTTTTCCTTCAGTAATGCGGTAAGTCTTCTTTGAAGTAAGTATTGTACAACCTTTCATATCATAGTGTGTTTGAGGAAGAGTATTTTTGACAATTTCCTTTATTTGCTCATTCGGTGTCATTGAAATCGGTAAGTTTTCACGATAGAACCAGTTTCTGTCAGATTTATATATTTTAGCTAAGTCATAAAAGCTTTTGTTGTTTCTTCTGACTAAATGCAACATAACCATATCTCTATCTTCTTCTTTCTCCAACTCTTCAGCGTAAATCATATACTTATAACTCTTTTCCTTTCCTTTTGGTACTGAACGTGGTATTCTTTTCTGTATGCTTTTGTCTTTGGATTCAATGACTTCATCTTTTGCTTGAAGTTTCTTTTCCATCTCTCCACGTTCTGCTTTATATAGTTCATCTAACATCATGAAAATATAGCAAGCATAACGAGGTGAAGCCCACATTGCTACAGCATTTACTAAAAGTCTATGAACATAATAACCTTTCAAACCAGGAGCCAAATTCTTGCGATTTTCGAATGGAATCTCTTCCCTCGGTTTTCCGAGGGAAGCAATCATATGAGGAAATTCTTCTAAAAGTTCTTTTGCCTGTTGGTTTTCAAACCAATGATATGCTTGCTTTGTAGAACTAAGAGCATTCATTATACTTTGCATTTGGTACATGTCATCTTTGACTGAACGAATGAGTCTCAATTGTTTGTTATACTGTATGTATTCGTATTCTTCATTTATGGCTTCATGGACTATAACTGTTGTTGTGTTCTCTGATGTTGTCATTACTGTCTTTACATACAAAATAAAAAAATAAATAAAAATAAAATTAGCCTTTTTTTACATTATGACACGAAGTGAAGATTTGCACTTCGTCAAATTTTATTAAAAATTAGCCTTTTTTTTACATTATGACACGAAGTGAAGATTTGCACTTCGTCAAATTTTATTAAAAATTAGCCTTTTTTTTACATTATGACACGAAGTGAAGATTTGCACTTCGTCAAATTTTATTAAAAATTAGCCTTTTTTTACATGTATTTTTCAGCAACTTCGTCAAATAATTTTATAGCTTTATCTATCTCATCTACTTCAAACGTTTCTTTACCTTTTATGGGAGCACCATACATTTTCTCAAACTTTTCAAGTAGTTCTGTTTCTGCAGCTCTCATATCATTAGCAAACACAACCTTGACTCTATTGACTGTACTGTCATATCTTTGAGTTATATTATATGTCCTTCCTATCTTATATCTCTTTGTATTGAAGTCCTTCGGTTTCTGAACGATGTAAAGTAAGCCTTCACTGCAACGTTCCGTATCGAATGAACCATAAGTTATGAAGTTATATCCAACAACTGGGTCAATCCATAACAAAACTATTGGTATAAGACTTTTGTCGATGAGATATGCTGTAGTTCCATAGAATCTTACTGATATCATAAGCTCAGGATTTCTTGTCAAAATTTTCTGAGTTGAAGCATTTCTAACCCAGTGGTTTGTTTAAAAAAAAAAAAAAAAAAAAAAAAAGGTAGTGGGGCTTCCAGGGGCTGCGCCCCTTCTAGCCCTGAAGATGTTTAGTATAAATGAAGTTTATATTTGGAGGGCTTCCAGGCGCGTTGCGCCCTCTAGCCCTGAAGATGTTTAGTATAAATGAAGTTTTTATTCGGAGGGCTTCCAGGCGCGTTGCGCCCTCTAGCCCATAAAAAATTTCTGAGGACGAGCCAGCCGTTGACTTTTTTGTAGAGCACTCAAAATAGTATAACTTTGTCCGGACAAGTAAGGGTCTATCGTCGCTACAGGAAAAGTTACGGGCGTTCCAAGGAAGTATACTTTGAGAAGCCTTTTCCCCCTTATAGAATGAGATAGGACGGTTATTTTACAAAACTGACAACACTTTGACCGAGTAGTTTTTTGTGCTGAACAAAAAGTGTCATATAAACATCTGTCAAAACCGCTTTTTAACTTCACTTAAAATGCCACGTAAGCTACGTAAGAATATACGTAAGAGGAAGAGAGCATTGAAACATCCAATAGTAAAACTGACACCACAACAACAGTTGCAACAACAAATGATGAATGACCCCACTATGTTGCAACAAATGTCAAGCAACCCTATGCTTTTAAACCGAGTTATTGGTGCACAGAGTGGAGGTTTAAGAGCGGCACTTTTAGCGAAAATGGCAGGCTATGGTGGAGCTGCAGACGGAACAGCTTATAACCCTCAAAGTCAAATGAATTTGAGTTCACTCAAAAATCAAATAACGGATGTCAAAAAGTCAAACATAGACATACAGAAACAAATAAGTGAAAACGAAAAGAAACTAGAATATGACAGACACACAAAGAAACTCAATGAGTTAAACGTAGAGAAAAAGAAGAAAGAAGAACAACTGAAAGAACTAAGTACAGAGGAATATGCGAAAAAAGTGTCAGAAAAAGCAGCAGAAGTAGCAAAAATGGAACAAGATGTTATAAATTTGAAAAACCATACTACTCAATATAAAGTACTGAAAGATGAAGAGATAAAACAAAAAGCCCTGAAGACATATATGGATAGCGATGAGTATAAAAAAGAAGTTGAAGCAAATGTAAAGGCAGAAAAACTTTTACAGTTGCAAAACCAAACCGTACAGTATGAAAACTTAGCACAAGAAAGTAAAAATAACGACGCAGCCATGCAAAAGGCAATGAAAAGCGCAGAATATATAAAAGCTAATAATGACTGGTTAGATGCCCAAGCCAACGCTAAAGCAGCCCAACTTATAGGGTCAATAAGGACAAAAATACAAGCGGATGAAGACAGTTCAAATGAAGCTTTAATGAATGCCGACTTTAAGAATGCCTTCGAAGCTCTTCATAGTAAGGTGAAACTAGTGAACGACTTCTCATCTGGAAAGAAACTGAAGTCTGAAGGTTTCGACAAAGAGTTAAAAGAAGTAGCACAAAATATGACGAAAATAACAGATGCAGCAACGAGACAGGCAGTTCAAAGTGCCTATGACTCCGTTAGAGCAACTGTTGTGGAAAGTCAAGAAAAAGAGTTACAACAGACCAAAACAGACCTAGTAAATGCTTTCTTAAAAACGAAAAGTCAGGTAGGACATTATGCTGCAGATGGAACATATGTGCCAGCTGGTGGAACTTATATACCAGCTGGTGGAACTTATATACTAGCTAGTGGAACTTATATACCACCAAACCCTCCAAGAGAAGCACCTGCACCAGGACTACCTAAAACATTTACATCGTCACATGGACACAGACACAAGCATGCACCAAAACCAACACAACAACCAACAGTTCAAAACCCTGCACAACAACAACCACAACCAGCACAACAACCACAACCAGCACAACAACCAACAGTTCAAAATCCAGCACAACAACAACCACAACCAGCACAACAACCACCTCCACAACCAGCACAACAACCAGCACAAACAGAGCAAGGACATAAAAGAAGTAGAGAACAAGGAAACCAAGAATTCTTAAAAATGCTTAAGGAAGGTTATGGTTACCCAGATACTCTTGACTTTAGTGACAGATATAAAGAAGCTATTAGAAAGTTCAAGGAAGGAAATACTGACCCGAACCTATTTAGCTTTATGGTTCAGCACCAAATGGGAATATAATCTTAACCTGGAAAATACAAGCTCGCTAAGGGATATGATTTAATAGCATATCATCCAAATGACATGAATGAATTTACTCCGAGATATTTTGTGTCAGAGATAAATGATGATTCAACTATCTTATGAAACGCGTAAAAAATAGAGACGGAACGAAAGAAGAAAGGGTTATGAATGCGGATGACTTAAATAGGGAACTTGTTAAAAACGGTCTCGGAATATATGAAATGCCACCAGATGAGGTACAAGAAACTCCACAGGAAGAAGTTCAGATACAACCAGACATGGAAGAAATAGTTCAGCAACAACAGCTAGAAGAGCCTGAAGGAAACGAACAAGTCCCTCCTTTGGAAACTAACTTCACAGAACTAGATGAAGATTTGGAACAGCCGAAAAATCTTGACCCTCAACAAGTGTATGAGGAGAATATGGAATCTTTCCAAGAGTCTAAGCAAAATTCGGCTGACATAGTAGAAGAATATCGAAAAATGTTTACCGACATACAAAAGACTCCAACATCAGATGAAAATATTCAGCAAAGAATGGAAGAACTGAAAGAAAATGTACGCAAATACAACAATCCTTTTTACTTACGAGCATATAACGTTCAATCTTTGGATGAACTCGGTGAAAATAAAAGGTTAAATTTCAACAAAACATATAAAAATGAAACATTGTTTAAAGTTCATTCAGAACCTAACCAATATGGAAACAAACCTACTTTTGTTTCTGCAGACTATGGAACTACAATGAGATGGGGTCATAAAGCTAATCCGGATAGGTGGTTCATAAACTTACAACCACAATTCCAAGAAGTTGTAGACGCAATGGAAGCGAATGGTGAACCAGATATAGCTGGTATTTTCAGCGCGGCTTTAATGCCATTGAAAGATATGAAACATGCAGATATTTTGGACCAGTATGAAATGAACATGGCTGATGGAAATATAACACCTGACGTTCTAAAACATTTATCTCAAAGAATACACAGAACCATAGAGATGGTATATTTGGTGAAGAGTTTAGAAAGAGAGTTAGGGAGAGAGAAGGAAGAGAACTATTGTACATGACCTTGCAAACGAAAGTTTGCAAAATGTCATAAAAACTTACTTTGCAGACAATGAACAGAGAAGGGATGAATATTTAAGAAAACTCAAATGGACAGTACCAAATAAATGTTAGTATTGAAAAACATGTTCCTTGACAAATAAAACCAACTACAGAAAAAAATGACGCAAGACTGGAACATTGGGTAAAAGCTTTCCATTCACAAAAGATATTATTGGTAACATGGAAAGAAACCAGAATGGCTACAAAAATATATTTGGAAACGAGCTTATTCCATATGGACAAGCTATATTTGAAGAGCTTGAACCGGAAACTCAGGAAAGAGTCATGCAAACAATACGCGAAGACTCAAATACAAACTATGACAAAATCTTTCTAGGATATAGGTTACCTGAGATGGCGACCAGAGCCCAAAGGCAAAAAGGACATGGGAAATTTACAACATACTAGGTGAACATGAGGCAAAGATGCAACAAAACTCAGTCAGGAAGAAAGTAAAGCTTGGTACGAGTGGGTTCTATTATGACACATAAATCAACTATTCTATATTTTTTTTTACCCATATGAAATGTACGCCTCAGAATATTACGCCAACAGTTTTGGATGCCATGAACGGAAATGTTTTCTGAATGGTATTAACGAATGCGACAATGCAATTAGAAGCGTCAGAAAATAGTTCCTGGAACTTACGAATATACAACTGCTGTTTCTTATGGAAACGTAGGTGAGTTTGGAGAAGGTTCTTCAACAACAGTAGATATTGCTTGCGAAAGGTTTCATATTATTTCATTGACAATCATTCTTATACGTGGAACAAGACATTGAAATAAAACCTTCTGCCAAGTTGTCTGACAAGAAAGGTTGCAATGGAATTTTCTATGTCGGATACCAATATGCTCCAGAAGTTTTCATGGATATAAGATATATTCTAACTCTGACTTAGTTCAACAGTAACATGGGCAAACTATGAATGGTTCGCTTGAGAAACTCAGTACAACACAAGCTAGAGAACAAACAGCAGTATGCAACTATTGAGAAATAAGAAGACTTGACCCTAACGTTCCAGGAGTTTATGTTGACCTTTCTGGACAAACTGCAGCAGCAGTAACCAAAGTAAACTGAAACTTAGAGTTCCTTTGTCATCTTTCCTCATCTTCAGTTTAAGATACTTGCCAAACTGGGCAGGAAAATTTCTATCGAACTTACTCCAAGCAAAAATAACTTAGTCATTGCACAACACAAGACCCATTCACTATTACAGACGTAAAGGGAACAAATCAAACGTCATTCGCCGACTTTTGCAAAGACAAAGTTGACTTAGACTTTGGTTCTCAAACCTCAACACTGAAGTAAACTATTATTTCAATGCTGCTGGAAATGCTTGGGACCCAGTTTAGTTTACATCGAAAAGTTGTAATGCAAGAGAATAGAAAGCAGACTTGCAGTCTATATGTTGGACCCAGATATTTCAAATCTTGCTAGCTGCCAAATATATTGCAGTTCACTTATGTTCCCTATACACCAAATATCTGTCAAAGACTTTGCAGGTGAAGTTGGAAACCAAAATCCAGGAGCCGCAGGTGCAAGAACAGATATTGCTTTAACAACTGCAATGAAACATGCAGATACTATGTTTGTACTGTTCAGACGAACTATAAATGAATATTCTTGTTTCTACAACCTGGTATTAAATATCATATAAACATAGATGGCAAATATTATCCAAGAGAAGAATATTCTACAGTTGAGGATATGAGGTCTACAACTTGACATTAGATGCTATGAACTTTAACAACAACTTCACAACAACTATTAACCCTGAAATGCAAAGTTCTATTATGCCATATGTGAAAGTATGACTCATACAGGAGGTCAAAAAACTCAATTATACAAATGGAGACCGTTCAAACTTTTGGCTTGGCATTCCATTTGCTGACTCAGAAGACTTTATGGTGGTATTTCAACTGTTGGTACTGTACAAAATACAATATACTGGTGACAGAGACGGTCCAATGAATTGAGAGCAAAGAAGTTTACAAAACCAATAGCACTTTTTCACGGAAGATGCTCTTTTGAAGATTCGTTCGATGAAACCTGCTGGGGCTCCTCAGATTGGCATAACGACAGCTTCCATCGAGCAGATTTTGGCAGCAGGTCAGTAAGTTGTTCTTGAACTGACTTCTTCTCCGTCAAATAATTGACAGTACGCCAGTTTTGACATAATATTGTATTATAAACTTTCCTTTAGTATAATCGGTCAGTTTTGAGATAATATTTTTGTCTGCTTCAAGACATTTCACCATTTTCAGTTATTACCAACTTTCTTTGCTTTATGAAAATATTTAGGTCAGCAAAGACTGCTATTCTATAACATTTTCCATTGTTTGTGTAAAGAACTATTCTTCCTGTATTTGTATTGTTTGTGAGTATAAACTCTTGTTCTGCTTCAATTCGAAAGAATATCCGAATACGTCATCTTTTTATTCTAAATAAAATGTCATTCCCGAAAAATAGAAGCGTAAGTGTTTCAAAAGTTTAATGGCCGGTGGCAGATGTGAAGATTAAATTCACCAACTCAAACAAACAGTCACAAGTGTTGTTGTCAATGTCAAAGACAGAGATGTTGAAGTGGGGAAACCATACGAAAGACGAAGATGGTATAACAATAGTTCCTGTAAAACAACCAAACATATCCTGAAGTTAGCAGAGACTTAAGTTCTGTTGCAGAATTCGAAACGACTACACACAACTGAAAGACAAACTTCAAACTCAGGAGAAAGATTTGTCAAGCTTTAAGTATAATGTTAAACTGGTGAGCACAACCCTGTAAAAGTGAACTCATATGTCATTGCACCTCATGAAGTTTTGAAAGAACTATTGAAACTTTTGACAGAGGCAGCGACGATATAAACATCAAAGAAATAAACCCGACACATTAGTTGCTGTGGTGTTTCATATAATGTCATTGACAAGATATACGTATAAAGGAGGTGAAACGTTAACTAAAATATAGTTTCTCAGACGTTTATAAAAATATTTGGCGACCACAACATTTCATTAAAAATTTATTGCTAAGAAATGGCAGAGACATAATGTTTATACTTTACGACTAAAAACCCTGAGTCATATTAATTCCTATAACAACAAACTTTACAAAGTCCTCAAGGACACATATTGTAAAACTAACCTTAAACACGAATGACGACTAAAGCCTGTTTTGCTCTTTTGACACCCAGAAGACTTTATTGTTGTGAATGGTAAAAAACTACTCCTTGAAGATAACTTACTCAGATATTACCACCAACCAGGTTTTTGTTGACTTATTTAATACTTTGACGTACGCGGGGTAACATGTGCTGCAACCTAGAGCAGGTTTCATTATGTTTGGATGTCCGACTGAGTTACTATAAAACAATATGAGCTATAATACAAAACTTATTTCTGTTTTTACTACCACAGTTTCCTATAACAGGGAACAAGGTTCATACAAGGAATGTCTATTCCATTGACATTAAGCCACACCAATTCTTAATATTGTTTTCAAACTTATGGTTCAAAGTGTTATTCGAATGTCGACCAGAAAACTATTATGACCAAAACGATACTTATGCGTATAAAACAATACCTTTCTCTGCTGGCGTTTGCCTATTGTTCATTCGAATGCAGTTTTCAACCTTAGTGAACTCAAAACACTTTAGGCAAGTATATAACGTTGACATTAGTTGACGCAAACTTTGTTCCTGTAAAACTTTTATGTCCTACTGTATTTGCTCAGAATGACCGGCCAGAAAGATTCTCGAATTGGAAGATGCAATTGCTGAAAGGTATTGTAGTACAAGCATAACTCTCAACAACAAATAGCTCAAGAACAAACAATGCAACAAATGAACAACAAAGTCAAGCGATAAAAAAATAATATTTTTTCTATTTTTTATAAAAATGTACAGAATAGACTGTTTCAGATTTTTATGGCTTTCAAGCATTCAGAAATATTGTCCATTAGAGACTATAACAAAGCAGTCGAGAATTTGAAAGGTTTAGTCATTTATGTCGACTCTGCCCCCAGAATGTTATGTCATGAAAGAAAATGGGATGTATGTCTTATACAAACCTAAGAGCAACAATAGTGCTGAACAAGAATGTAGACAGAAACTTAAGAAAATAAAAAGTTCGTACAAGTTGGCATGATAATGCTCTAGATGCTCTGGGATATCACTTATTCGCATCAAACCGTTAGAATGGATTTTCTCATTGCGAGGTATAAAGATTCATCCTTCTCCAAACTTCTATTCTATCTTCACTGGATATAAATACGAACAAGTAGAATGGAAAACACAGTATTATAGAAGCTTGGTTAGACCATGTCAAAGAAATTATATGCAATGGAAACGAAAAGGTTATGAGTATATCTTATGTTGGTTTGCAAATATCTTACAACATCCAAGTGCTAAAATGAAACTGCTCTCATTATAATTTGGAAAACAAGAACAGGTAAGAACACATTTTTACAGATATCTTATGCAAACTGTTAGAAGGTTATTCGAACCCTAATATGACAAACTTAGAAAACATCTGTGCAAGTTTAACTCCTCAATAGAGAATATGAAACTTATAGTTTGCAATGAACTTCAAAGTATAGATACAACAAAAGTTTTGAACTCAGATGCTTTGAAGAGTCTTATAACAGAACAAAGTTGGAGTTGTTGAAAGAAAGTATAAAGACCAAAGAGTTGTGAAAATGTTGCAAACTTCATTATGGTTTCAAACAATACTGTTCCGATGAAGTTAGAAAGTTCTGACAGAAGATATGTAGTTGTCAGAACGTCAGATTCTCATATGCAAGATACAGAATATTTTGACGACTTAGCAGAAACTTTGACATCTGACTTTTACAACCACTGTTCTCATATTTCATGACATTAATATTTCTAAGTTCAATCCAAGACAAATTCCACATACCGAAGAGAGACAAACATTGTTAGAAGCAAACAAGAGTGTATATGAACTGTTCATAGATGAAACTGACTTTGAGTGTTTAGATGAAAGGTCATTGTACGATTCGTATAAACAATATTGTCAAGAATATGGTTATATGGCAGCTTCTAAACGAACTTCTTGGCAAATGTCAAAAGTCTTTTAGATGTTCAGAATGGTGTATATACAAAGAAAAATTTTCTGAGTAAATTTAAAAAAAATATTTTTTTATCCGATAGAAAAGATGACAAAATTCATCTCAGTAAACAAGTACATGTCAGGACTTAAAGAAGAACTAGACCCATTCACATATTTGAATGTTTACTTCTACCATTTTGAAAAGTCTTCATTCAGCAAAGTTTGGAACATCGAACCAGTTAAGTTTGCTATTGTGACTAAAAATGGTGCGAAATTTGAAAGACTTAGACATAGAAGGTTTGTTAGCAGTCAAAGAAAGTTTTGACAGAAGGTTCTCAAAACTCGAAGAAGGTAAAAGCATACAAACTTGTATATACCTTATGAACAAAGAAAGCAGACGACTATGAATATTATGAGTCTAAGATAGTTGAAGTTCAAGGTAAATTGGGTAAAAGATTTTAGAGTCTAAGCCAGTGTTTGCTCCTAAAGAGGAAGAGAACATTGACATTGACCAGAAATGTTCTAAAAATAAAATTTATTTTTACATGTCAAATTTCTTTTTCTCTGGAACTGGTTCAGGTTCTTTCTTCTCTTCTTCTACTTTCTTTCTTTCTTTTCTCTCTTTTCTCTCTTCTTCTTCTCTGGTGGAGTTATGTCAAATTTGGCGCAACTATATTTATGTAAAAGTTCTTTGTCCTTAATAGCTCATCTATTCTGTTTTCTATTTCATCTTCAAGAACAGCGCATGTGTCTTCTTTGCATTCTAAGAAGTTTTGTTGGACTTCATCTCTCCAAGAGGCGTCATCTCTGTCAACAAGTCTGTCATTGACAAACTTTAAAGACTTCTCTGCTTAATGTTTTATGGTTCTTGTCATATTCCCAGAAACAGAACTTTAGAACAAATTCACCTTTCTTGTTTACACTATGTAAGATTTTATGGTCGACAGATGTTTTAGAGTCAAAAAGCTTGTCTCGAATATAGATAGCGAAATCGCTAGACATTTTCTAAAAGATAAAAATTTTAATTTTTCTAAAATATGTTAGAAAAAAAGTTTGCTGACATTGACAAGAAATTTGAGAATGTTTTGAAGAAGAACAAGAGGAAGTTAAAATGCTCAGATAAAGCCTATACATGACAAGTTCTTATTTGCTCAGAATGGTATAACAGGTCTAATCGCACCCTGGGTCGGTAAGACTTTCACTTATCTTAAAATGGCTGCACAACAACAAGAACTAGATGAGAAGAACCCATTCTATGAGTTAGTTGTTATTTGTAGTACTTCTGGTCAATTTGACCAAACCGTCAATTCGTTCAAAGATATTATAAAGAAGTCTAAGTTATATGTATAAAGGATACTGAGTTGTTAGATTGGATAAAGAAGTACCAAAGAAGAGTTTTGAAGTATAATGCTATAAATGAGTATATAAATTCTAAGTTTAAAGACCCAAATGAGGAAATGCAGAGAATATTAGAGAAGAAACACTTCAGAACCAACCAGAAAGAGATAGAATACATTTCGAAGAAATTGCAATCTTACGATTGGAAGACTTACCCTCATAGATGTCTTCTTATTTAGATGATTTCGCCTCTCATCCTTTGTTAAAGAACAGAGAACAAGATATGTGTCGAATTCTTAAGAAGCTCAGACACTTTAACATCTCAGTTGTCATTTGTGTACAGACAGCAAAGAGTTTAAGTAAGGATGTTAAAAGAATACTTACTGACATAATACTTTTCCCCGGATTGTCCGAAGACGATTTCATGGAACTTATGAAAGAGTCCATGGCAGGTAAGTTTGACAGACATGAACTATGGGAGAAGTACAAAGTCATACAAGACCCTCATACTTCTTTCAGAATTCATATCTACGCAAACAAAGTTCAAATTGTAAAAAGTCAAGCTTGAAAAATAAAGAGTTCATTTACTCTGCTTGTTTGAAGTTGTCAAAATACTCTGTTATTTTTTCCTTTAACAATGGCAAATCTTCTTTGAAGGTAAGAATTGTACAACCTTTAATATCATAGTGTGTTTGAGGTAACGTATCTTGAACTATTTGTTTCACATCTTCATTCGGTGTCATTGAAATCGGTAAGTTTTCGCGATAGAACCAATTTCTGTCAGATTTGTAAATCTTAGCAAGGTCGTAAAAGCTTTTGTTGTTTCTTCTGACTAAATGCAACATAACCATATCTCTGTCTTCTTCATTTTCCATCTCTTCAGTATAAATCATATACTTATAGTTCTTTTCCTTTCCTTTTGGTACCGAACGTGGTATTCTTTTCTGTATGCTTTTGTCTTTTGCTTCAAGCTTGTTTTCCATCTCTTCACGTTCTTGTCTATGAATTTCATCTAACATCATGAAAATATAACAAGCATAGCGAGGTGAAGCCCACATTGCAACAGCATTTACAAGAAGTCTATGAACATAATAACCTCTCAAACCAGGAGCCAAATTCTTGCGATTTTCGTACGGAATCTCTACCCTCGGTTTTCCGAGGGTAGCAAACATATGAGGAAATTCTTCTAAAAGTTCTTGTGCCTGTTGGTTTTCAAACCAATGATATGCTTGCCTTGTAGAACGAAGAGCATTCAAAATACTTTGCATTTGGTACATATCGTCTTTGACTGAACGAATGAGACGGAGTTGTTTGTTAAACTGTATGTACTCATATTCTTCATTTATAGCTTCATGGACTATAACTGTTGTTGTGTTCTCTGTTGTTGACATATCTGTCTTTACATACAAAATAAAAAAATAAATAAAAATAAAACTAACTTTATTTTTTCTATCTTAAGGAAATTCATGATTTTTGTGCTGAATTCAATAAAAATATAATTTAGGTGAAGCCCACATTGCAACAGCATTTACAAGAAGTCTATGTACATACCAACCTCTCAAACCATTTGGCAAATTTTTACGATTTTCATGAGTTTTAGGCGACCCCGAAAAAAATCTGGGTCGCAATTTTTCACGATTTTCATGAGTTTTATGCAAGACCGAAAAAAGTCTGTCTAGAGAAATTTCACGATTTTCATAGAGTTTTGGCGACCAGGTTTTTTTACCTACTCGCTGTTCTTCACTGTTTTCATACGGAATTTCTACCCTCGGTTTTCCGAGGGTAGCAAACATATGAGGAAATTCATGAATTTTGTTGCTGAATTCAGTAAAAATAATGTTTAGGTGAAGAGGTGAGATTTCACCTCTTTTTTCACCTCATTTTTCACCTCATGAATTTTCATGATTTCATCGTAAATGTTTTGTCAAAACTTCTTCGTAATGAGCGTAAATGACCCAAAAATATATTTTAGGTGAAGAGGTGAGATTTCACCTCTTTTTTCACCTCTTTTTTCACCTCATGAATTTTCATGATTTCATCGTAAATGTTTTGTCAAAACTTCTTCGTAATGAGCGTAAATGACCCAAAAATATATTTTAGGTGAAGAGGTGAGATTTCACCTCTTTTTTCACCTGTTTTTTCACCTCAGTTATTTTATAAGCGTTTCACATGAATTGTATGATGTATATTTGAAATCCTAAACAATTTCGTAGCTTCTATTTCTTCTGTCAGTACATCGAATGTTTTAACGATACCGAAAGTTTCTTTATACTTCTTCTTGACGTCAGATAGAAGGAAATCTTCTGCTGTTGGATAGTTTTTATTAAGAAATGTCAACATATTCATTTTATCTTCTGCTGGCTTTTCTGCTTCTTTCTTTAAGTCTGCATAGTCGTTTCGCATTCTTTCTATCTCTTTGACGGAGTAGTTATATTTCCTAATTGCTGCTTTACATTTAGAACATTGCGGGTTCATTTTTGCGTTATATTCTGAAACCTTACCTGCTAAAACAACTAAGGCGTCAATTGCTCTCTTCATCTCGAACATAGCGGGTCTTATTTGTTCGTTCCATACCTTACCCCTACTATCTTTATCTCTTATTTCCCAAACACATTTTGCAACTAATGAAACAAAGTTGTCGTAGGTCTTAAATTCTTCAGATTTATAAAGGTCAGAAACATTCTTATATAACATATCGCAATCTTTGTCCATAACCTTATGGTTGCAATGAAAACCAAGGAATTCATAATTTACCTTACGTATGAACTTCTTTATTTCTACTGAGTCAGTTGCTTTGACTTCAATTTCGTCAAATTCGGGAATAGTGAGTTTTTGTTGTTGGATTTCAGGCAATTTGGGTAAATGGTCAATAATGTCCTGCATTTCATAAAGATACTGTTCATTTGTTTCATCTTTCGCACTACAGTCTAAATTACTTGTTAACAATTCCTGCTTTATCTTCTGGATTTTTGTTTCAAAAGTATATGAAGAAGGAATGAAGCTTTTCATCTCTACCAACATAGATGTTGGATTCATAACTAACGAGTTTGGTGCTGTAGTTGTTTGAACTGTTGTTGTGCCGATTGTTGAAATCATATTTTTTATACAAAATAAAAAAATAAATAAAATAAAAAATAAAACTAACTTTATTTTTTATTTCGGGAAAATAACTGAGGTGAAAAAAGAGGTGAAAAAAGAGGTGAAATCTCACCTCTTCACCTAAACATTATTTTTTGGTCATTTACGCTCATTACGATGAAGTTTCGACAAAACATTTACGTTCATGTTTGACAAAACATTTACGAAGAAATTCATGAAAATTCATGAGGTGAAAAAAGAGGTGAAATCTCACCTCTTCACCTAAACATTATTTTTACTGAATTTAGCAACAAAATGAACGAGGTCAGGATGTATGTAAATACCTTTGAATTTATTCATAACACCCTTAGTAAGCTCATAAAATGCTTGTTTTGAGGTCGAGCCACTTTTGGCTCCACCGTATTCTTTCAACCAAAACTCAAGAATTTCCCGCATGAATTTTGTATAAAAAGCAACCGTCTGAATTCCGGCGGTTGCTATATTCTTCACAAAATGCCTTATAATACTCTTCCCAGGACTTATTTTCCAACAACTTTCTAAAGTCTTTCCTAAACTGACTGACTGACGGCACAAAGTGGCTTAACGAAAACATTAATATATAAAATTCGTGAAAATTCATGAAAATTCATGAGGTGAAAAAAGAGGTGAAAAAAGAGGTGAAATCTCACCTCTTCACCTAAACATTATTTTTACTGAATTTAGCAACAACTTTCTCTCAATTGGAGCTGTAGCATACTCTTTGCGTAAGCGGTTCAGACCTTCTTCGAACTCTTGGTCTCTCTTCGATTTGTATTGGAATTGGAATTGCTGGAACATCCAAGGGTTGGGGAAGTAAGGCATAGGCTGAGGAGGAGGGTAGTTCGGGAAGCCTTGTAGTGGAAATTGGTAGTAACCTTGAGGTGGAAATTGGTAGTAATTTGGATTGAGATTGGAATTGCTGGAACTGAGGTGCAGGGGCTGGTGCTTTAGGTTCCTCTGGCTTGGGAATGGACTCGGTTGGTGGGACGTCGGTCATCCGTTTGTGTCCTGTCGGAAGGAAGAACTTTTTCTGTCGGAAGGAAAATTTTTTCCTGTCGGATGGAAAATTTTTTCCTGTCGGATGGAAGAACATTTTCTGAAGTTCGACCAAAAAGTTCTCAATTTTCGAAAATTTGAATGGTTTACGGACGGACAACTGGAAGAGTTCTTCCTGTCGTCGGGAAAAATTTTTCCCTTTGTCCGGAAAATTTTTTCCAGTTGTCCGGAAAATATTTTCCTGTCGGATGGAAGGACTCGGAATACCAGAAGGATTTGACGAGGCAATTTACCTAATTGAAATTAACGACCGCGTAAAAGACTACTTGCGCAAGGTCATGAAGCCCAAGGTCAAGTTCACCACTATTTCTGGAAGGGCTGCCTTGAATCTCGAGACTTCGACTGGAATTCCAATTCAAATACCAGAAAACACTCCTTTCGACGACATAAAGGACGCCAAAAGAGAAGCTCTTGTTAAGTTCCTAAACAAACGTCCTTGGATAAAAATACCAAACAAGGAGAACCCCCTACCCCATATGAAATTGGCAATTCAGTCTCTCCTTCACTTCTCGGGTCAGCCATTCTACATAACCTGTGAAGGCGACATCCAACCAGTTCAGTAAACATCTCATTTTAACTCACTTTTTTATGTTTTTTGTGAAAGTGTCAAAAATAAATTGTTTTCATGAAAATTCAAGAGGGTAGAAAAGAGGTTAGAAAAGAGGTTAGATCTAACCTTCTACCCTAAACATTATTTTTCAATACTTTTTCAGCACTTTTCCGTAATTATATATGAAAGACAATTCGAGATAAAAGTCATAGTACAATGGAATAATATGTTGCACACCATTTGTTGTGAACCAAACTTGAAAGTCAGAGAAACTGTTACTAGGTGGTTCGTAGAATTTAGAAGCAAAGTCATAAAGGTCCTTACCAATACATAGAAAACTATTGTTGCTTGAACTGAAACTTGCATGACACATAACATTTTGAGGGTCAAACACGTTTCTATAAACCATCAAATCTGCTGGTGGAAGTATAAATTTAAATGGACCATCTGGTGGTAATGGTTCGTTCTGGTTTAGTAACCGAAGAAATTGTGCCCAAGAACGTTTGTCTACTTCCCAAAATAAAAACTGTGTATCTCTTGGAGGGTTAATTTCAATCTTTTGAAATGAAACGGTGGAGTTCATCTTGTCATATTCTAGTTTCAGATAGTATGTTCCATTTAGTAAAGAGTCGTATTTTTCTTGAAATTCCCAATAATATTTGTTCATTTGAGTTTGAAAGTCATTTAGAGTTTTCTCAAGACTTTCGTCTGAACGAACTGTAAATATTCTCATTTCGTCAAATTTGTCTATTAGACCATCAGAATCTTTATACTGCCCATGAAAATATACTGCGAACATAAATGCGTTAGTTCTTTTTGAAAACAAAACTCTTCTAAATCCTATTGCCTTTGCATCTGAAGGACTTTGAAGCCAACGAATTGGATAGTCAAACCTGTATGCTCGGGATGAAATTTCTTCATCTGAAATAGTCCTACCAGCATTTGTAAAGATATAGTCTAACGGTTTTGTATCTGCTACTTTTGTTCTTTGTTTTTCAACCTGAAGCATTTAATATATGTAAAAATATATTGTTTTAAAAAATAAATTTTTTATTTCATGCAATGTTTTATTTCTGTGCCGTCTTCAAGTACGCCCCAATATTTCCTTTTCGATATTACATGAACTTCGGAAAATACCTTATCTAGCTTAAAACAGCCCATCTTTTCACCGACCATTCCCATTTCAATGAGTTTGTTGTATCCTTCTTCGTTCGTCATGAGTGCGTCAATGTTCTCATAGTAAACCTTCACTTTGGATTTGACCTCAGAGAAGAATTTGTTGTAGTTGTCAAGGACTGCCTTTGCGAACTGAGGGTAAGACCAATGTTCGACAATAGGTTTTAATGTGGTTACTAAGCCACCTTGACCTTGAGTGAATTCGTACTTCAAAACAAAAGGAGAAAACCTTTCAACAAAGTTGTCGACCTTCTCATAATGTTTACTCTTCATCTCTTGAGGTTTTTTAATGGAATATCCCCATGTCGAATTCATAAGCAATTTGAGTGTCATTGCAAGTTTGGGGTTTGAAGCTTTCCTAATATCATACAGTTGTTGTATGACTTTTCCAACTGTATAGTTCCTTCCCGGGAACTCACCATCTTCGTTTGGAATTCCAGTCGGAATATATTGGACAAACCTCATGTACGCAGCGTTAAGGTCGACATAGTATATCTTTTCGTTTGAGTCGAACTTGTCGCAACCAATTGGTCCAGTTTGTGGAAATTCAAGTGAGTCTCTTATCTTCTGAGAAACTTCTCCTGTTATCTCATAAACATCGTCGAAGCAACCTGTTTCATATAAAACCTTCTGACCTAACTCAGATGCTCTCCAATACAATTTGACGTCAATTGGATGTCTCAATGGAAGTTTGTTTATAGCATCTTGAAGTTCTTGCAACCTCATTGGAAGTTCTTCTGGTTCAGGTTGGTATCCGAACAATCCAACTCCTTGTGGAATTGTGTACTTCTTTTGTACTAGAACTTTGTCTGGAACAACTTTTGGTCTTGCTAACAGTGAAAAGTTTGTTTCGTCTTTTGGTACAAAAGTTTCTGTCAGCTTGTCATCTGGAATTGGTTCCAACAAACCTTTCTCGAAAAGAATGTTTACAGCTCTGACAATGTTGCACTTGCCTTTTCCGAACAATGGGTTTGTAAGACTTTCGTTCAACATGAAGTGGTTGTGGACAATTACAATCTTCAACCATGGTAAATTGAACTCAACAACATAGTCGTCGTGCGAAGAACCTTTAGCTGTAGGTATGTTGACTCGGATATTGACATTTGCCAACGGTGCAATTTTTGCCAATTGACCTCTGAGAATGTACCTTGTCTTCACACATGACTCAAGATACTTCATCTTCTCATCTGTAACAAGACCAGAGTTCCTGAGACATGTAAGAATACAAGGTTCATTGACAATTGTTTCAATTGAATTGTAAATTCCATACCTTGTCAAGTCAATGTCAGACTTATTTATGAAGGGGAAGTATCCAGCATGTTGTCTGACTGCTTGAGGGTTAGGTTGGTACCATTCGAACTTGACACTTGCAATTCCTTCAATTGCATTCAAAATGTCTGAGTCTGAGTCAACCATTTTTCTCTCTTTGTAGTCTTGAAAGCGTCAAGAAGTTTTTGCGGCTGTTTGTTCATTGCCATGTGCATAGTAAATGTGACCATCCAAATCTGTTATGGTCAATTTGAGATTGTGTCCTTTCTTATTTCCGTCTTGTATGGCAGCAAGTACTCCCATGAAGCCTTCTTTGTTCTTTCCTTCGTCAAAGTTTACTGTAAAGGTTCGACCAGATGTAATTTGACTTCTAACTTCACGATACTTTTCATATGCATATCTTGTTCTTTCCATGGGAGCATGACCATCCTCTGCACTACCTTTTTTCCTTCTCAAAGGATGCAATTGTTCGTCATGTTTCCAGTAGAATCTGGCAAAGCCGTCGTGTCCTTCAACTTGAGGTTCACTAACATCGAAAGGCATGTCCATAAGACGTTCTTCTTCTAACCTCTCTAGTCTGTTTGGATAATTGGCACGTGCTGTTTCCAAATCCATTTCGTAGCGAAGACCAGACAATTTGTCATAGACTTTTATGGGTCTTCCCTTCCTATATTTAAAAATTCTTCGAAACTCTCCAACCATATCTTTGCAACTCTGCTTTTATTCTAGCAGACTTTCTATCGATTCTATATGGGGGCATTTTTATAAAAATAAAAAAATGTTTTTTTTCTTTACTTTACATAACCGCCTGCTGCCATAAGTCTTTGACGCCAACCCATACCAGCTAATGAAGGTTGACTTGGTTTAGTTTGGAAACTAAACTTTGGTTTTGGTTTATCTTCAGTTTTTGGTTTTTCTTCTTCTATCGGTTTTTCGTCACTTTTCGGTTCCTCGGGTTTTACCCCACCTGCAGGAACAGTTGTGTCGTCAACATCTTCATAAATATCATATGCCATTTGTTTTTGTTTTCCTTTCAACTTTTTGTGTTTGTTGTAAAGTTTAGAATATTTCGACTCTAAGTCAATGAGATGTTCTATAATGAACTGTTGATCGGTGAAGTAAACTTTTCCATCTGTTGTCTCGAAAGCTCCTTCAGACTTCAATATTTTATTTGTGAGAGTCTGTTTCTTTTTTGAGATACTAGCCGTTCCATTTCTATGAAAAGTGACTTTATAGTTAGGGTTTGTATTTCCAGACCTGGCACTTTCTATTATTGAATTTTTCTCTTCATCTGTAAGTTCTTTGACAGGTTTTGACAATGGTTCTGAACTTTTTGTTTGTGGTGTCAAATCTACCGTTTCAACTTCTTCGGTCATTTCATCTCAGTAAAAAATTTTAGTTTGGTTTGTTTTCAACTGGTTGTTGTTGTTTTTTTAAGTCGGTCTAAAAACTTCCTGAGGTATAGGAAGAACTTGACAAACACGTGGTGGTTTAACTGCTGGAAGTCGACAAATCCATCTTGAACCCATTTGTCTCAATGCTGTATTGTTCATTTCATCTCAGTAAAAAATTTTACATTCCCCACGTTTGAGGCGGTTGCGGTTGGTTATTGTTTACCCATTGTTGTGCATGGTTATATCCTCTGTTAAAGAATCTTTCACCTTGGTCCATATAGTGTCCTGCTTGGTTATAGTAGTCATTTGCTTTGTTATAATAGTTTCCTGCTTGTCTTCCTACATTGTCCATCCATCCTTGAACTTTTCCTCTTGTTTCAGGATTTGGAATAAGATTTGTTGCATCTCGTGCTACATCCCAACCTTTCTGTACAGTTTGTATAATAGGTTGTGCTTTCTCTTTAAGTATACCTAATGTAACTCAAAATCTTCTTTCCAATTCCAAAAGCACCTCTAGCTATTGTTCCCACTGCGGGCAAAAAATCTGGATGCAACTCCTGCTAATGCGCCAAATAAACCCATTTCTTATAGGGTAAAAAATGACGAATCCAAACAAGGACCCCTATGTTTCTAAAGCGACAAAGAAAGCACTCATGATAAAAATCTTTAGTTCAACACCAAATGCTTGGTTTATGGATATCTTGGAAAACATTCCGAGGTATAGAGAAGATGGACCTCCATACTGGTTAATATTTGTTGGTCAAAACACAAGATACTGTGAAGCCATACCATTATGGTCCAAAAATATTTTAGATGTGAAAACTGCTTTGACAATATTCGTTGACAAATACCATCCAACAAAACTGACATCTGACTGTGAAAGTTCTTTCAAATCAGATGATATAAAAAACTATCTGCGTTCAAAAATGTAAACCAATATTTCATTGTCGACCAAAACCATTCTGCTCTTGGTGTCATTGACGGTTGTATAAAAATGTTAAGAGACTTAAACCAACCACAAGGTGGTGAAGCAAATGAAATGTCATATGACGACAAATATAGACACTTCTCCAGGCAAAGATGAGACAAGTTTTAAATATTTACAATAACCGTAAACAAAAAGGTTTGGGAAACCACTCCCCCGAAGAAATGAAAACAACCCTGACTTAGAGAAAGACTATATATTTAATAATTTAGTCAAAAGAGACAAACAAGAAAGAATGCCGGGCTTCAAACTTCAGAAAGGTGACAAAGTAAAATAGAAATACCTAAACGCGACGACCCATATGAAAATACTATTGACTATGACAACAATGGGAACCCGACAGGTACTCACATTCGTGTTCGTAAAAATAGAAGAAAGTATACAAGAGAATATTATGAAGTTTTAGGCAAACATGGCAAAATGTACACACTGCAAGCAGAAGATAAAACTACTATTGTCAGACTCGTTTCAAACTTGTCAAAGTTCAAGGTGGTATACTTTCAAAGACAGTTCCTAACAAATATAAGACAACTCCTGACGAATATGCTAAAGAAGTTGAAAATGACGACTAAGCATTTCTATACCATGCGTAAACTGTCATGTAAGGTGGCATGTATTCTTTACTTTGTCCCGTTGGATGTGTATATCCTGTAACGAAATGTGAATGGATTCCTTCTCCCTGCGTGTCATCCCAGAAACAATTTATAGCAAACTTAACGTCCTCTTTAACATCATATCCTTTACCTTTTGTCATTCCTCTCCAATCCCAATATCTATGCTTATGCCAACCTGCTTCAGATGTAGTTAATCTTACGTAGTGACTGTGTGCAGGTAAATTTTCACCTGAAATCGTTTTACTTCCACCTGTTTCCTTTGAAGAGTTTGCACAATACAAAAACCTGTCGACTATTTGAGTCCAAGTTCCAAAACCAAGTACTACTTCTGGTCTGGTAGAGTTCATTGACGTATAAATAGAGCCTATAGGATATAATGTTTGAAGTATTTCTGTCTTTAATGTTTGAAGCTCTGTTTTGTCTGCTTTCTTGTCATATAAATCTTGAGCAGTGAATTTAATATTATGTTCATCCTTCATGACATAAACATCTTTACATCTAATGTTTCTCATCGTCGTTATGTCGTCATCCGATGTTAAACCTTGTGGAAAGTTAGGAGGTTTATAATATAATACATCCCCACCAGTTTCTTCAACCGTTCCTTCAATACTTTCTATAGCAACAGTTGTGAAGAAATCATGTGTATGGTTCTTGTCTGCTTTCTTTTCAAGGCTAACGTTTAAGTCTGTTATTTCAGATATAGAATGTGTATGTCCAACGGCACTTTTCCTGTTTAAGGTTTCTTGTAAGTTTGTAATATCAGATATAGAATGTATATGAGTCTTTTTAGAATATTCGTTTTCAGCTCTTGTCACTTCACTTGACATTTTATTGTCAACATATGTTTTGTCTGCTAGTTCAGGATGAGTATGTTCTTTTGTTGCATAAGCATTGTTAGCTCTTTCTTCTTCTTTTGCTATTGCATCGTCTACATATTCTTTGTCAGCTTTGTTGTCAACATCTGCTTTCAAAAGAAGTTCATTTATAGGTTTCTCGTTTAAAGTTTCTTTTGTTGGATTTATACAGACAGTATGGTTCTTATTGTCTTGAAACAGAAACTCATCTGTCATTGGGTTTAATGTCAGTTTTAAGTTTCCTTCTTTCAATGACTCAGATATCTTAGAATAGTTTGAAAAGTTTGTTGTGTTCTTATTTAGAGCTTGCATAATGAGTTGTCGGTTGTGTTGTATTTCTCTCATGGAAGCAATATCTTTCGACATTTTTATTCTAGATAAAATATGCTTCCAATAGAAAAAGAAAATTCAAGAGTTGCTACAACTAAACCATTAGATGAACTTTTTACTAATGTCGGTCAAAAGTTTGAGACAGAGACCGTAAAGCATGAAGGCTATCGTTTTGACTACCCATTAAGATGGCTAAGAGACCCATCTGTCACAAAAGCTATTGGCTTTCGTAGAATGAAGTTTGTGTCTGTAGAAGATAAAAGTTTTCCATTTATTGTAAAGTTTCATATAGATTATATATCTGAAGGGAAACGAAAAATGTGGGAAGAAATTGAGCTAATACAAGTTGACCTTTCATCTTCTCTACAGACTGCGTTAAAAAATATAGAAGATAAAATAAATTCATGTTATGCAAAATATGCTGATGAATATGCAAATACCGATAGCACACTTTATGTGAGAATTGTATATGACAAACAAAATTCACAAGTGTCATTTCAAATCTACGAAAACAATCCAAATAAAGACGAACAAATATATACAGAATTCACTGCAATGTCATGGTATTATTTGCAAAGAATGTTAAATCAGAAAGTCGAACTTCCTTTAGCAAATATTTACAGTCGATATGCAAGAGATGAACCATATTTATTTAAAGATGTTTTCGACCCAGCTGCTATTATTGTTCATGCTTCATTTTCTGGCGCCCAAAACTCTTTCTTATGCTTGGCAAATGACTTTTACGAAAAACCTACAAAGCTATACGAACCACCAAGTGGAAGTATTTCAGACTTTCAAGTATGGTTTACTACAGATGGAAGAAAAAGAATAATTCCATTATACCATGCGTTTTACTTAGAACTTAGTTTCATATACAACTACTATCGAACGGTAAAAATATAATTTTTTAATACGGTTGAGGTGTTGGATTTGGTTGCCAACTAGATTGTGGTGCAGGTTCAGGCTGTTGTATAACAGGAGCTTGTTCTTCTGGTTCAGGGTCTTTAGGTATAATACCAACAAACTGACCTACTCTTTTACCAATATTTTTGACTCCGTTCCAAATTCCTTTTCCGACAGATTTTATTCCATTCCAAATACCTCTTCCAACATTTCGAAAGAAGTTTCCAATACTACTGAAGAAACCCATTTTACTATATGTAAAAATCTAATGTCCGCCTAGTCTCTTACGTTTCCTGTTGAGTTCCATAGCATTCTTTAACTGGAGCTCATACATTCTGTTTCTCCTCTGGTAGAAAACATATTCTGGGTCAACTCCTGTGTTCGCGTCATCTGCATAAAGTTGTTTATATCCCACTTCGGGGTTTGTATAAAACTCTTTCCATCTCATATTTGCATACCATGGTGGCAAACCTAACGCAGCGTCATTTGACATGGCAGTTTGCATTTGTACATCTGTTGGCACTTGACCATAGTTTGCCATTGCAGTTTGTATTCTAACTTCATTTGGAATATTCTCTGGGTTTGGTTGTCCAGGTTGCTGTGCATTCGCTAAGTTCTGTGCGTCCATTTAATATTAGATAAAAATATCTCTTACGAGTACATATACTGAACATTTGCAGGCATTGGTTCATCTTCATATTCTCTGTACTTTTCTGCCACGTCAAATAAATAAATGACACAATGGAAAAAACCTAAAACAAGTAGTCCTATTTCAAACCACATTTACTTACTAATAAAATTTCTTTGTTATGACACTTTCTCCAGTTTATAGGACCTCTCTCATATTCTATCTTGTCATATATAAACTCATAGTCATGTATGTCCTCTAACCATCTCATAACGGTTTCCAAACCACTTTTATCGGATGTAAAGTAAAAGCATGGATGGTTATGTATAACGTCTAAAGTTTCTAAAGAGTCTCTCAAAGTCCAGTCTACTTGGTATTGAAAATCCCATGTGTTATAGAACGGCGGGTCCACTATAAAGAAAACATTTTCCTTGTCTTTATATTTTTCATACAACTCTGTCCAATGACATCTCACAAACTCTATACCCTCAATATATTTTTCTATGTCCTCTTTGAAAACATTTGTATAGTTAAGATATAAAACTTTTGACATAAGTGTTTCAATGTCATGAACTCTTATAGAACCACTATATAATAGTCTAGCAGATATACTATCCCAGTCTATATATTCTGCTTTTTTCAAAACCTCTCTCACAATATTTTTCTTATCTAATGGTATACGTTCCATCTTACCTATAGGTATCTTTTCTTTTAACTCTTTCAATATATTGTTTGTGTCTGGTATATGTTTGAGACGGTCCATATAGTTGTCGAAGTCATTGCATATAATCTTTGAGTCTGGGAATATTATATGACATAAATGGGATATATAGAAACTTCCACCGAACAAATCTACAAATGTTAGACCATTCGGTAGTTTCTTAAGTTCTCTCAATATAATATCTTTACATCTACTCTTATTTCCAAAGAACGGTAACGGTGGTTTTGTAAAATTCATTTATATATAATAATAAAAATGTTTTTACCCGAAAAGTGACAGAAAAGTGACAAAACATGAAAACATATATAATTTGTGAAAAGTGAAACATTATATAATGTTTTCGACCAAGAAGACTAACAATTTTCCGAATAAAAACTTCATTTATACTAAACATCTTCAGGGCGTAACGCGCCTGGAAGCCCTCCGAATAAAAACTTCATTTATACTAAACATCTTCAGGGCTAGAAGGCACGAAGTGCCTGGAAGCCCCACTACCTTTTTTTTTTTTTTTTTTTTTTTGTTTTCTTTTCAGATGGTGTCAGAATGTCTGACAAAGAATATTTGTTGTATTTCTTTGAGTATCTTACGTTTAAATCACCTATTCTAACCAATTTGGTGTCATTGTCTATCTTTCTAACTGTTTCAAACTCAATGTTTGACATATATGTCTTTACATACAAAATAAAAAAATAAATAAAAATAAAACTAACTTTATTTTTTTTTAAGTTTGGTCATCCTTCACGGTATGACAAATATACTATATTTTACTTAAAAATATGCAAGCGGCTCATAGCTCAGTGGAATGGGCTACCTCGTTAAAGGCGTCGAAGACCTCGGTTCAAATCCTGATTCGCGCATGTTTTTTTCCTTTTATGCAGTGAAATTTCATGTACATAGGTTACTTTGGTGTTAGACCCTAGTGAAGAAAATAGAACGATATAAGTTTACATTTGTAAGGTTACTTTGGTGTTAGACCCTAGTGAAGAAAATAGAACGATATAAGTTTACATTTGTAAGGTTACTTTGGTGTTAGACCCTAGTGAAGAAAATAGAACGATATAAGTTTACATTTGTAAGGTTACTTTGGTGTTAGACCCTAGTGAAGAAAATAGAACGATATAAGTTTACATTTGTAAAGTTGGACGATAAAAATCTCTGCTACTGTCAGTAAAAGTACTGCTACTGTCAGTAAAAGTACTGCTACTGTCAGTAAAAGTACTGCTACTGTCAGTAAAAGTACTGCTAATGTCAGTAAAAAGGAAAATTTGAGAGGGTTTTCGACGATAAAGTACTGCTACTGTCAGTAAAAATCTCTGCTACTGTCAGTAAAAGTACTGCTACTGTCAGTAAAAGTACTGCTACTGTCAGTAAAAGTACTGCTACTGTCAGTAAAAATCTCTGCTACTGTCAGTAAAAGTACTGCTACTGTCAGTAGCAATGGTCGAAGTCGAACCTACCGACGAGGCAATTTACCTAATTGAAATTAACGAGCTTGTTAAAGACTTCCTCAGGCAGAATGTAAAAGGCAAGCTTGTTAACGGTTAGAAACCGTATAGAACCTTCATTTTTTTTCCTCAAAAATAATGTTTATGTTAGAATATTAGAAAATAACATTTTTTCTAACATAAGCGTTTTACATGGTAAACGTTATTTTTGGAATTTTGTGAAAACTCAACGGTTTGACACAAGCCCTAAAATTATTTTACTCAGAATTTTGTTGCTGAATTCAATAAAAATAATGTTTAGGGTAGAAGGTTAGATCTCACCTGTTTTCTCACCTCTTTTTTCACAAGCGTTTTACATGAATTGTACGATGTATATTTGAAATTCTAAACAATTTCGTAGCTTCTATTTCTTCTGTCAGTATGTCAAAAGTTTTAACGATACCGAAAGTTTCTTTATATTTCTTCTTGACGTCAGATAATAGGAAATCTTCTGCTGTTGGATAGTTTTTGTTCAGAAATGCTAACATGTCCATTTTATCTTCTGCTGGCTTTTCTGCTTCTTTCTTTAAGTCTGCATAGTCGTTTCTCATTCTTTCTATCTCTTTGACTGAGTAGTTATATTTCCTCATTGCTGCTTTACATTTAGAACATTGCGGGTTCATTTTTGCGTTATATTCTGAAACCTTACCTGCTAAAACAACTAAAGCGTCAATTGCTCTCTTCATCTCAAACATAGCGGGTCTTATTTGTTTGTTCCATACTTTGCCTCTTCTATCTTTATCTCTTATTTCCCAAACACATTCTGCAACTAATGAAACAAAGTTGTCGTAGGTCTTAAATTCTTCAGATTTATATATGTCAGAAATATTTTTATAAACCATGTCGCAATCTTTGTCCATAACTTTATGGTTGCAATGAAAACCAAGGAATTCATAATTTACTTTACGTATGAACTTCTTTATTTCTACCGAGTCAGTTGCTTTGACTTCAATTTCGTCAAATTCGGGAATGGTTAGTTTTTGTTGCTGAATTTCAGGCAATTTGGGTAAATGGTCAATAATGTCCTCCATTTCATAAAGATACTGTTCATTTGTTTCATCTTTCGCACTACAGTCTAAATTACTTGTTAAAAGTTCTTGCTTTATCTTCTGGATTTCTGTTTCAAAAGTATATGAAGGAGGAATAAAGCTTTTCATTTCTACTAACATTGACGTAGGATTCATGACTAACGAGTTTGGTGCTGTAGTTTGAATTGTTGTTGTGCCGATTGTTGAAATCATATCTTTACATACAAAATAAAAAAATAAATAAAATAAAACTAACTTTATTTTTTCTATCTTAAGGAAATTCATGAAAATTCATGAGGGTGAAAAAACAGGTGAGAAAACAGGTGAGATCTCACCTCTTCACCTAAAATATATTTTTGGTGTAAATTTATGACAAAAATAAATGGTACCATTAATAATACATGACTGTTCTCATTCATGTCTGATTTACATCCAACGAAAAAGTTTAGAAGAATTTTCTTATTCTTTCTGGCATGTTTTTGTCTTTCCAGTACTCCCGCTCTAATGGTCCCAGATGTGTTGGCTTCGACTCTCTCAAGTTCTTAGATGGTATAACATCTTCAACACCTCCTTCATATCTTACTTTATAAGTGTCATCGTTTATGTTATAGCCAAGTATTTCAATAACCACTCCTCGCTTTGCTTCGTCAATGGTTTCAGCAAGTTTGCCATTACTACTTTCGACTAATTTATGACGAGGATAAAACGCAATGGAGTCGTCAGCAGCTTTTATAAGATATCCATTACATTGCGTAGAGTCTACGATATAATAGTTTCTACTTAACCTTAAACGTTTCTTTGTCAACGGTTTGTCGTCAAGAACTACACGAACTTTTGTACCAGGAATGAGGGTAAATTGTGTTGAATTTCTGATATTTTGTGTTTGACTTCGTTTCTTTTGTATATACTTTTCTTCTTGTTGTTGTGTCATTGAATTTGGTGTATGTCCTGTTGTAGAATGTGTTGAGGAATTATATACTTCGAGAAAATGTTTCATTGTTTCTTCGGTAAAGTCTCGCTCTTGGTTTAAATCTCTGAGCGTTCTTATGAAGCGGTTTATGATGCCGAGTATGTTATGGTTATGGTCTTCAGTAGTGTAGTGAGTTATGTTATGCTTAATGAGAAAATCTGTGATTTCATTACTGAGGTATGCACTGTCTTGGTCTGATGTTAAAGTACTTGGGTTATGTTCTGCTACAAACTTTTGTAAAACTCTTAACACTTCACGAGTTCTTTATTTTTCATTGGATATGCATATGCTTTACGAGTGTTAACATTAATGAAGATGAGGAATGGTTTATGTCTCCTTTTCTGCTTTGAATGAGAGTGTCAAATTGGTATGCGTCGGAGTGTTGGAGTAAATTGGTAAAAAGTAGTCGTAAGGTTTATTTTTGTTTGATGTACAACATTTTGTCAAAGAACCTTTTAACTTCAGCTCTGTTAGTAAATCCCCAACTCTTTGCAGCTTCATTGAACTTCTTAAATGACCTCCATGGATGTTGTTCGAATACTTCTTTCAAGCTCATTTATGTAAAGTTAAAGATTTTATTCTAGGCTCAAGCGCGTTCAATGAACTCTATACCATGCGAATACAGTCATAAATGGTGGCATATAATCTGCACCCGAGCCTGTTGGATTTGTTGTGAAAGTGTGGGCATGATTTCCTGGGTTCCACAGAAAATACCTGTGCTTGAATTACTGGGTCACTTGAAATATCATATCTATGCATTCCCTGTCTATCCGAACCTGCTGCAAGATTTTATAACCTCTTGTGTTATGAATGTGAATGACTACCTGTTGTGTTTGTAGTTCCTGTATGAGTGTGCGGTGGAAGGTTTTGCTTCTTTAATTTTCTTCGAACCTCCTGTTTGCTTTGAAGAGTTAGCACAGTATAAGAATTTGTCTACAATCTGCTGCCACGTACCAAAACCTAAAACACTTGCGGGATTTGTTGAGTTCATTGACGTATAAATAGAGCCTATAGGATATAATGTTTGAAGTATTTCTGTCTTTAATGTTTGAAGCTCTGTTTTTGTCAGCTTTCTTATCTAACATTGTTGGTAGTAGTTCATATGCTTCAAAGTTTCTGGCATGATCTTCGATTATTCCTGCAACTCTTATCTAAATTGTTAAGAGTATCTTTTACGCTTGTACTTGGATTTTCTAATGGTGCACTTGAACCAAGGTCAAAGTTCAATATTATGTCGTCTGCTCTAACAGTAGTGAAGGATTTATGTGTATGGTTCTTGTCGGCTTTACTGTCTAACATTGTTGGTAGTTCATATGCTTCAAAGTTTCTGGCATGATCTTCGATATTCCTGCAACTCTTATCTAAATTGTTAAGAGTATCTTTTACGCTTGTACTTGGATTTTCTAATGGTGCACTTGAACCAAGGTCAAAGTTCAATATTATGTCGTCTGCTCTAACAGTAGTGAAGGATTCATGTGTATGGTTTTTGTTTGCTTTGTTGTCTAAAGAAGTTTGAAGTTCATTTATATCGGAGATATTGTGTTTATGAGATTTCAAAACTTTGTTCATTGCGTCAAGTTCATTTTTGTCCGCTTTACTTTTAATAGCATCTTCAAAAGTTATTTTTGCCTTAACTCTTAACATAAATCTTGGTTCAACTAATACACCGTTAACATTGAAAGTAGAGGCATAAATTTCACCGGTATAACCAAATGCTTCTGGTGCTTTAGCTACATCATACTGTACAGTACAGCTTATGTCATAACCTTTAGCACGAATGTATTTATATCTTCTTTCATTAACATTTTTTGTCTTCGCTTCATCACTTCGTGTTAAATATCCATGATAGTCCGTTATAATCTGTTCGTCTGAACTTATATAATGAACGTGGTTCTTGTCCGCTTTACTATTTAATGTAGCTTGAAGTTCATTTATATCGGAGATATTGTGTTTATGAGATTTCAAAACTTTGTTCATTGCGTCAAGTTCATTTTTGTCCGCTTTACTATTTAATGTAGCTTGAAGTTCATTTATATCGGAGATATTGTGTTTATGTTCTTTATCTGCTTTTTCGGCTAATTTCTCTTCTATCTCATTTATTTCAAGTTCATGCCTACCACCACCTCCCGAAGAAGTATTTTTCTTCAGCTCTTGAAGAACGTCCACTTCGCCATCTTTGGTGTCAATAATGAGACTTTGAGTTAAAACCTTTCCTGTCTTAATGGATGTTTGTAAAACTTCTTCTTCACCATGTTCGGGGTCATGGTCGTCATCATATCTTGTGAAATCAGAGATGTTGTCATACATTAAGCATATCTGTCTCAAAAGTTCTGCTATTTGAAACTGGAACGAAAGATATACAGAACTTTCATCATCTCCTAAAGTCAAGTCTGCTTTCTTAAGTATTTCTTGAATGTATGCAATAGGAACAGAGTACCTTGGAAAATATTCGAACAATATTTCATTAGCTGTTGGTTTTGGTGGTTCTTTTGGAGTTTCTGTTTTTCAGTTCCTTCTGTAGGTTCTGTTGGAGTTTCTGCATCTCTTGACTTCAATGCTCTTGCTCTCAAAGACCTAAATGTTAGAGCACCAGGTTTTACAAAGGACTTTATAAATGCTTTAATAGTTCCTGGTAAGTTATTGTTAGCATTAAGTAAGTTCCTTATGCTTCCATCATGTACGTCCATAGCACTATGTAAAAAATCTATACTTTTCTTGTAGTCAGCAATAGACTGACTGTGATTTTTTAAAGATTTGTCAATACCTTTAAGCCAATCTTCATGCATGTCTGATACTGAGCCAAGAATATCATTTGCTTCCTTTAGTGTATTTTGTGCTTCTCGTAAAGTATCCAATCCCGTACGTGCATTGTTTGCTATACGTCTTACAGTATCTATTTGACTCCTTGTTTCTTGCATCCAACCAGATAAAGTTTTAATAGTATCCGAACCATTTGAAATGAAGTTCAAAGCATTTTTAACGTCATCTAAAGCTTCTTCACCAAGTACTGCCCATATCTTTCCGATTTGGTATTGAAGAACTCCATATGAAGCAGCTGTTAAACCAGTATTTATAAGGTCCCATATCCATGATTTAGCAGTTTTTCCATCCTTTCATCCTTTCCATCCAAACCGTTCTCGCCTTGAGGTCCTTGTTTCCTTGTATTCCTTTATTCCTTGTATTCCTTGTATTCCTTGTGGTCCTTGAGGTCCTTGAGGTCCGGTGTCACCCTTCTCTCCTTTCAGTTCATCTTTATGTTCGTTATAATATTCTAATGTCATAAGGTGTACATCATTACTGCTACCAGCAACGCCAAGAATTTGTTTCTCATTCATGACTAAATTCTTTAGGCATTTAATGTTGTCGTCAAATCGAAAGCTCTTTAACAATTCAATGAGAACATTTAATACTTTCACTAATGAGGCATCTACTGTAGAATTTATATATTGCACCGTTCCATCATTTATGATAGGAACTTTACTTATTGTAATGAATGGGTCATAAGTGTTAAAAGTATCGAAATCAATGACTTTTTTAGTTTTTCCATCGTCAATGACTAAATCATTGCCTTCCACTGTTAAAGTTGAGTTTTCATTTACTAGTTCATGTGCTCTTCTTGCTTCATTTGTTTCATACGCATATGCAGCAATAGTCATATTTTAATGAGAATAAAATGTTGTTCTATTTGCAAAGTACAGACCCGAATGAATACGGAATAGTAAAGCTACAAACAAACTTAGGTCTTCAGAATGAAGCGCTTGCTTTCAGAGTTGTTGACTTCAATACTATCGCAACTTTTGTCATAACAGATGAAACAGATTTCATAGAGATTGAAATAGATGACAAAAGAAGTTTTATAACATTTCCTAACAGAGCAGAGTATAGAATAGATAAAATTGCTGGAGTCATAGATACTCTCATAAATGAAGAAACTATTGACAACATAGATGTCGAACTCTCTTCTGAGGGAACATTGAAGTTCAGTAGCAAGAAAGAGTTCAAGATAACACGAATGAGTCATAGAGTTCAACTTCTTTTAGGAGCATACCATATGACATTTCCTTTGAAAAGTGTTGACAAAACGATTGAGATGAAATCTGTTCCATACGTATGTTATGGCAATTGTTTATACATTGAGTCTAAAATAGCTAATGTCACAGGCATTTCAGGAGTTAATAGTAAAGGTTCAGTAGAGTATAAATCTTTCTGTTATGAAGTAAATTCAATGTTCATTCCAAACGTTCCTGTCATAGCAACTCATTTAGGTAAATGGGTTCGCATTAGTCCTCATAATTTGAAAGACATGCAATTCAGACTTGTT